AATTAATAAAATTCATTGAAAATAAAAATACCTACTATACTACTTATGTGACGAACCATAACAAAAGGAAGTATGACAATACGCAGGCCTTATATAATTTATTTCACATTTGTCTGCCATAATTTTTTCTAGTAGATTTCGAATCAAATGCTGAATTTGATTTTGACCTTAAATAGATGTTTCTCAGTCAGTAGCTAAGTGCCGACGTTATTCCCCTAATGATTCTGTCTATTAGTTTGTTGTGTCTGATTTGATGATTTTTGTGTACTGTGTAATATACAGCAGGAGTAATTTTTCCGGAAGTATTTGTTGTCTAAATTTGATGGAACTTATTAATTAGTACCAATATCCTGGGGCACTTGGTTGTGTTTATGATCACTCTTAAATTTATTAATGTGATATAAATTGTTAACTTTTTATTTTAATTTGATTATTAAAAATAGTTAATAATTAATAAAATAATTAATATATTATTTAATATATTAAAATCAATTTACAAATAAATATTTTCAAATATTATATCCAACTATTTAAAAAAACTTACGAGGAAAAAGTATTTTATAGGTTATTATCTAAAATTCTTTTTAAAGGATATGTTTAAAAACTCATTTTCTAATTTATATTTTCAAAAACCAATCCTTAAATTAAAATTTTAATTCATATAAATCATGCATATAAATTTTTTTATTGATTTAATAAGCTTAATCAATTTATTGATTATGCAAAATTTAACACTATTAAATATATGTCAAAAAATAAAGTTCTGTTAATTAAAGGTTTATAAATATTATATTAATATAAAAAAACATTTACGATATAAATATTAAAATTTTTAATTCAACGGTTGATTTTTGAAAATATTAGTTAGAATTTAAATTTTTAAATAAGTCTTTCAAAAAAATTTTGAGAAGATTATTTTGTGTTACACTAACTCCAAGCTAAAAGCTAATAAAATTATAGTTAAAATGAGTAACCATGGATGGGAATAACAACAGTCTATATATAGTTACGGCTGCATAAATTTTTTAATATTATTTTTAAAAATACTAATACTATTTAATTTAATTATTAAAAATAATCTATAATTGTAACTGTTACTTAATAAATTGATAAAATGATTAATATTTATTAGTTAAAAGATTAAATTAATTCACAAAATAGCGTTTTTAAACATTATAATTAATCATTTAAGAAATGAAAACTAAATTTGTGTACCCGTTATGTTATTGTGTGCCTCAATGCCCACGGCCCATAATGTTGAGTCCCTTTCTATTTTTCAAAACAAATCCAGTACAGCAGTTAGCTGAGTGGTGAGATTTTACCGTGTTAATTACTAGTACTACATTAGTACATATATTAAATAGATTTGGATAAATTGGTATAAATTAAAAATAAAATAAATATATTTTTTATAATTAATTTTATATTAAAAATAAAAATTAATTTTTAATTTATTAATTATTAAATTAAATTTACTAAAAAAAAATAAACTGAGCGGTAATTAATAGGCAAGCCTCCCGAAGTCATAAATCTCCCTCAGTCATTAATTGGGAATTTACCTCCACGTACGGCAGCAGTCAACGAGAAGTCAAACCATACACTCCTCCAACTGAAATGCCAGCTGGATAGCAGACATGTCTCATCATCATTGGCCAGCAATCTGGCATCAGGCATCATTGGATCCAGATTACGCTAAACCATGCAAACAGTACCTTAGATTACAAAATTAATCACGGAGAAAAGGTTGTGGTTATTGCCACGCAAAGAAATTCTATCGCCACACGAAAATATCTCTTGTTTCGTTAAATAATTAGTCATGGCATTTGAATATTTAATTTATTAGTTGCTTTGTTTATTAATTAATAATAAATATTAAAATTTTTAATTATTAATTAGTCATTAATTATTTTTAATTTTAAATTAAATTTAAAAAATGTTTATTTAAGCATAGAATAAAAATATAATAAATATTTTTTTTATAATTAATTTTTATTAAAAATATAAATATTGATATTAATTTAATCAATTAACCAATTACAATCATTCATTGATTTACATATTAATGATGTTAAAATATATGTTAACTTTTATAATTTTTAATATAAATTAATTACAAAAATACGTATTTATTACTTCTTAACCTATATCATACAAACCTAAATAAAAGTAATTATTTAAAATCAAATATGAAAAGAAACTATGCATCTAACACTTAGAAGTATTATATTTATAATATTATATAAAATGTGATTAATATGTATTAGTTTTGATTCTTAAAAATAGCAAGA